ACAACTACCAAGTGAGCAATCTTATTTTACATAAACGGCCTTCAAGTGGGGTATGGGAACTTTTGTTCATGTAATTACTTAGATTTATCTCGACTGCACCAACATTTTTTGTCTAAATATGTTTTGCCGCAGTATGAGCTGCACTTATGATTTAATCAAGAAAATAAAAACATTCAACTTTAACATTAACATGTCAGTGATACAGAAACTATTGTGCATGTTGGAATTATGGGATACTTTACCTGTAATAGACTCACTCTGACCTGCCTTTATGGAAGGGTTTAATCAGGGCTGTCAGGTTTAGTTTAAGTACTGTCTGTCAGCTTCTGATAAAGCTGGGGAACAATATGGTGAACCAGTTTATGACACAGAGATACCCTGTGCATGACTTCATCATGTCTGGACTTTCAGCCAGTGTTTGTTCAACCTGACTGACTGATAAGTCAAAACTCTGCAGGAGAAAGTAGCATGAGGCGATGCAGTGTGTTATTTGCAGGTGATTTATGTTTTTTTTTTTTTGCTTCTTTTGTAGGCTTTATTTGTGTTAGAAGATTTGTATATTATTGGCAAATCTAATGAGACATGCAAAATACATCCCGAAAAACTTTTCTTCTTCTGGAGGACAGTATTTCCCAATTTTCCCCCACAGGATAGAGAGAAGAGCATGATTTTTGTTTACTTTTCAAGAATAGCACAAACTTTTCCCAGATGACTACCCCTTTAAATTTGCAAAAAATCTTAAAATATCATTGCAACCAATATTTGAAATATATGTCTAATTTCCCCCAAACCTTAATAGTGTGAGATGCATCTCAATCAAACAGCTAATGTCACCATTAAAACCAAATTAAACTTCCAGAGCTTTTGCCTCTTTCAGCATAAGTGATAAACAGATAATGTTATGGAACAATATGTAGAGAGATGGATCAGTCAGTTTTAGCTTGCACTTGTTTAATTTAATCCTTTTTTGTCACAAGTCAAAAAGAAAGAATTTGAATTTTTTGTCTGAGGAACCTCATATTAAATGGGATGGCAAAAGGAGGGACAGTTTATTCTGGAACCTTCCCTGCTATCGCTTTCCAGATAAGCCTTTTTGCATCAAAGCCTGAGTCAATGAACAGGTTGTAAATAAAAGTTTGTTAGATCTGATATTGCTTGAGATTAGACATACAGGCTTTGCTTTTGTTGAACATTTGTTTTTTTTTGTAACTTGAGTTCAATTTTTACAGCTTATCATGTTTCCTAATTGATCTCTGAGAGAGATGAACTGGTGGACCGGCTTAAAATCTATCCATAATTGAATCCCGCTGAATGTTCTCTTTTAAAGTAGCATCTTTAAAAGGAAAGCTGCTCTGAGCAGCAAGCTGCACTCTGGCTTGTGAAATGTGATTAAGAAACATTCAGATAAGCTCTGACTACACTGAGCATGATGCACAGCTTATTGTGTCAAAACTACTGCATCTATCACGTCACCATCCCCACAGATCACAATCAGGAGGTCACATTAAAAAAGAAAAATCTTTTTGAGTTTAAAAATATAAAGGAAATAATTGGGTAATTGCTTTTAAAAAGACCAGTGTGGCCGTTGATCAGAGCAGTGACCTTTTAACTGATTGATTGATTTGCTATATGCTCTCATAGCTGCTTTGTTCGCTTCCTGCATGTCTTTCTCAGATGGTGTGACTGGAAATTAAGCGTGTCCATTTTAATCAGCTTCTGCTTATTTTCTATTCATCTGGAGCTGCTGCCAGATTTCATGAGATGATTGTGAAAGATTCAAGCAAATCGATTGTCTGTTTGCTTTATCCCCAAAACCCTGATAAAAAATTATTTTACTGAAAACACAAACAAAGGACAGGTTCTCTGCAGCCCTTTGAAACCCTAGCAATAAAAAAGGTTGAACTTGAAAAATACTAAATATGAATTTGATGAAAACAACCATCTCTATGAAATAAATAATTTGCTTTAGTCCATAAATCACTATGTCATGAATAAAACTTTTGTTATTAATGCTGCATTTCATGTAGACTGCATAAAGATTTCTATTGCTTTTGCATCATTCCTCAAATGATCAGTTACACTAATTAAAATGTCAGACAAAGATAACCTACCTAGTTCATTTATTAATAGAAAACCAAAGCTATTCAACTTCAACTAAAAAAAGCATATAAAAATAAAAAAGTAGTGGAGGTATTTATGTGCTTTAGATCGTTGTGCTATTTGTCCCGACTGCCTTGGTTTAAGGTCAGAAGCAGATCGCTGGACATTTTCCACTAGGAAAAATTACAGAATGCTTCCTTCAGTCAGTTATAATGAAATCCTGATGCAGCGAAGAGGTCAAGAGCGTAATAATAACATTCACCGTGTTTTTTTTTTTTTTTTTTTTTAATACAGTAAGTGTGCTTTTCTTTTACTGAAATGCTTTAATTGTATGCCATTATCTCATTTGTCTACAGAACATCCTCTGACTGTCTGGGCAGAGGGACCAAATATTTTAATTTCTAAGGAGAATATACAAGGTGAGCATACACTCAAAAGTCCTGGTCTTTGTGGGAGAGTGGCAATAATAAAGTCATTGTTGAAAGAAAGCAATAAGCAGTGTTGTTGTTTTTTGTTTTTGTTTTAATTGGAGCCACCAGGGGGTGCAAGGTGGTTCTCACAGAATTGGATGGAAATTAGGAAAACAAATGTGCAGTGAGAAATATGCAAAAATTAAATTATTTAATTATAATTTTTCATTACCATATAATATAGCAGAATGTTTTCAATCATCATTTTGTTATATAATTTGTATTGGCATGACAAACCTAGGAAAGATAGAATTTGGAATAATAAAGGGATTTTCTATTCTATTCAATTCTATTTTTTAACTACCTTGATTGACATTCTACTTTTCCTTTTTCAAAAACCTAACTGTGTGAGTCTGCCTTCTCAGCATTAAAGATATTATAGACAGATATGACAGAGTCACTGACCACATATGACCTAGCCCTTCCTCTACACACACACTCTTCTTTTATTCTTATAATTAATAGTGGAATTTAATAGAAATGTTAAAACATTTTGAAGATGGGTTAGGAGTATAAGTAAGAGTAATCTAAAAGTAGATTTTTCTTTAAATAACCATTGTCTGTTAGCTTGCAAAAAAGAGTCTCTGGTCAGTATTTAATGCATGAAACAAAGAGGAAACACTAAGACTGCATCTCTCGGAATTCTGCAACCGCACTACCCACAAGGTGGTGACATCATGGTGGCATCATATGCCATAAGGATCCTTTTCCTCAGCAGGGACCTGAAAGCAGTTTTATAGAAAGATCAATTGGGCAACCCTAAGAGATAACAAGGGAAAAGTTTAGATTAGATCATTTCTTTATTTTCATGTTGCATAGTTAAATTCCAGAAAAAAAAGAAAAATTTAGATTCATGGGGAAAGACCCAGAAATCGATATTGACACTAATCTGAATGGCCCTCAATAAAATAGACATAGTACAGGTACTTTGCCTTCCCACCTTAATCTGTAAAAAACAAATTTAATGCATATGACTAACATCTTTAGGGCCATACGCAGTCCTGTTCTCTTATGAAACTTTGTTATCTCTTTACAGAGCAAATCCTTACCTTTCAACATCGGGGGAGTCAGTTCAACTGATCTCAAATTAGGTCAACAGACAAAAAAAGATTGATTGTAAATCCATAAAGGTGTCTAATAAGCATGCTCATCTTCACAAATTGTGCAGTTCTTGCACAAAAACTAGTTAGTTATTTTTTACGTAATGTTTTTTCTGGAGAAAGGATGGAACAATTAGCTATCTGTAGGATTAGTAAAAGTCTATATTGTCCAGCCCTAATATAAAAAAAAAATATCACACAAATATTTTTATATTACTCCCTGAATAATCTAGTTAGTAAGCGGCATTAGTTTTAGCTACTCCAAGGTTGAAAAGAAACTATCCTCTTTTAGCAATATAATGTAGGGCCCATGTTTTAGGACACAAGAATGCTATCAATGTTAAATGTTCAGTACATTTCAGATTACAGTTGTTGCTGCTATTCATATTCAAGACTGGTTAAAAATGAATTTGAAATCATCACCCTGCGGTGAGAAGGATTATTCTCCTGTCGTTGGAAACCTAAAAAAAGAAAGGTAATTATGTAAAAGCAATATATAGGACTATCTTTGAAGAACTTCCTAAAAAATGTTTAGCAAAAACGCCTCTAATTAATAGCTTTAACACTATGGTGCTGTTGCAGTGATTAAGGCATGTGTACAATGGCACATTTAAGAGTTCAGTTTGTTTTGGAGTTACAGTTCTAGGTATGTTGCACTGTTATCTACAGCCAGATTCAAGTAAATTTTTCTGCTGAGGCTTGGCTACACTCTGACTGTGAAACAGAACAATGATGCTAAACACAGAAGCAAAACCAAAACAGAATAGCATAATAAGAAAAGAAAAAAAATACTTGATGCAAGTGGCCTAGTCAACGTGCAGACATGAACTGGACTGAAATGCAGTGTCACCTGCAATGAAAGTCTGGCAAAATCAGTGAACAGATGAAATCAATGTAGGGGTATTTAGTCAAGAGGTATATTGTCTGTTATTTACACTATTTATTACCTTATTTATTTGAATTCAAATATTCTATGATTCCTGAAGGGTAGTTCAATTTTTGCAGTAGGGTCCAAAAAGTATTCACACAATAAACACTCAGATAAAAATTGGCGGAAGGGTAGAAATTCTGCATTTATATATGCTTTGGTACCAGGCATTAATGGTAAAATGCATCATAATATTCAGGTGAATTTTTACAGCCTTTTTTTCCATATATTTATCGCCATCCATTTTCCCATCCACTCTGCATAAAGAGCTCTATGATCTCCCATTTGAAATATGTATCATATGTTGCAGTGAAACAGAGAGTTCAGCAGTTTCGGAAAAGAGCTGACACAAATAACAGTATAGTTCAAATTTCTAACAGCAAGTCAATGTCTGCTTGGATCTCTGGATGTTTGTTGATCAAAGTTTCAAAGTTCATATCGTCACCCTAAAAAAGTTTGGTAAATGTTTTCTCTGTATTCACTTTTGGCAGTGGAAGTGGAACAACAGGCAGCTGTCCCTTATAGAAGAGACCAACACGGTAAGCTTACTGATATGCAAGAACTTTTTTTGCCTTAACAAAAAATAATTGCATTTGAACATCAATGTATAAATAGTTGGTAACTTTCCTTAAGAAAAAGACAAAAAAGACCGAATTGTGTCTTTCTGAGTAAAGTTTTCTAAAAGCAAAAAGAATCATTTGAACAGCATTAAATTACTGAAGGAACCTCATTATGGATATGAATATCACATTTTATTGTTCTACTGGTTAGTAGAATTAAGTTTTAAACCTGTTTATAAGTTGATCTTTTTCCATCTAGAGTGCAAGGATTTGTATTCAAATCATGTTTTGCTCACTAATCACTAATAAGTGACCTGCTCAGACTTCACCAAAGAGCTGAACTTACCTTAGATTTTCTTACTTAGATTTTAGATTTTTTTTTAAACTTTTTTTTTTATGCTTTGTGAACTAAACCCAAACGCTGCAGTGCTGCATTGAATCAGTTTGTGAAATATTTTTTTCTAAATGTCTTTTAATCTAACAGATAGTTATAATTGATGACTATTATTGATGAGAAAATTGTGAACACAAATTCTAACTTTAAAGAACCTAACACATATGTGTGTGTGTTTTATTTTTTAAAAACATCAGATTTTTGGGAATTACTAGAAGTAATGAAACATAAAAAATTAGAAGATGAAAACAAATTTTCTATATTTTTTTTTTTACATTTTTGTCACCACAATTATCTCAAATACATGTTAGCCAACCAGATCTCTACACCAAGTATAAGATTGTATCCTTTTAGGACAACTTATCAGTTTTTACACATGTGCTTTGAATTAAATTCTCAAACCTTTTGCCTTTGTCCCTCCACACAGGAGTGTGCTGTGGACTTTGAGCATTCAAAGCACTGTCTGTGCTTCTCGGTCCTTTTGACAGAGTTCAGCTGACTGGATAAAACTACCACACTCTGACAGAGACTTCAGTCTCGACTGAGTACTCGCCAACCCAGAAGGAGGGAGCTCCAACGAGCCCGCCATGGGGGACTCTAAGCTCTGCCTTTTGCTGATCCTCATCATATCAGCCTTGGCTTGTGAGTAGCATTAAACTTTTCAACATTTAGATATGCTAAAAATGTTGATGGTTAAAAAAACAAACAAAAAAACAGGCAATTTAAGTTAAGGTCTTATTATTATTTTCTTAAAAGTTTAACCCAGGGTTAAATAAACATGTAGTTTACAAGTATATAATTGAAAAAGCATATTTTAAGTACCGGTACTGATCAAAGATGGTGCATTGTGCAGATTGTATTTATTTAAATAGCTATTTTCAGCATTCAGAAATGGAACTGACTCAACTTTTTCACCCAAGTCTAAAGTTAAGATGTACATATTATTAGTCAAATATTAGGACCAAATTTATTTTATTCAAAATCTTAAGCAATAACAAAAATCACATGCAGAACTGAAGAAGTTCTAAACTATTTAAAAAAACAAAAAAGAAGTAATTACATCCATTTCCATACTATATATAAATCCATCCATCCATCCATCCATCCATCCATCCATCCATCCATCCATCCATCCATCCATCCATCCATCCATCCATCCATCCATCCATCCGTCTTCTCCTGCTTACGATCGGGCGAGTGCATATCTCCGGCAGTCTATGGGCAACAGTTGGGGTAAACCCTGGGCAGGTCGCCAGTCTGTTGCAGGGCATGAATACAGAATGTCTTATATTTTTATAGTGTTTCTCATCTTTATTCTGTTGTAAGCTACGGTATCTTTCATTAAAAGTGTATGTTCAGTTCACTTTATCTGACTGTAAAGGGATGTTTTAATATAAAATAAATCAAGGCATACGTGTAAAAACAGCTAATTGTTTCTATAGGAATTTTATGACCTGTGGTAACATAATTTGCTTAGATATTTACTGTTTGAGTTAAGGACAAACATTAATTTTTGGTTTGTTTGTTTTTGAGTCTTTAAGGAATTCATCTACAATTGATTTGGTTTTGTAGCATAAACGATTCCCTGAACTTAGACTTTTTAATCTCGAAAGACTTTTTGCTTTTCTATTCCTTTGGGTCTCCAAATTATTTGAACCCTAATGAACCCTAACCTCAGCCAAAATACAACACATTTCTGCAGACATTGAGCTAGTTTCTCATCATTGCCTCAACGGTATCGAATTCTCTGGTAGGACAAAATAAAAAAGTACCGTAATTGAAACAACAACAATCTGCAAACATAATAAAGTGAAGTGATAGATGTTATTTTGATCAACATTCTGAATATTTTCAGACGGGAAAAATGGCTAATGTAACTTCTCCAGAGTCCCTCATAGGGAGCTGCTTCTGCTCATCTGTAAGATAAAAGGATGTTTTTTTTTTGTGTGTGTCAATGTTAGCTTAGTTTTTTTTCTTTACAGACGGATAAAATTGGATCTTTTCCTTGGGGAATCTAGCATTTTTGTATTTTTTGTTTCTTTAATAGTAAGTATCAGAGGTAGGTAGAATACCTAAAATTGTACTTAAGTAAGAGTAAAGCAACGTTATCTTATTTTTCTCACATAAAAGTAAAAAGTAGCCATCTGAGGAATTATTTAAGTTCGAGAAAAAATATTTGATAAAAAAAGCTACTCAAACACTGAGTAACTCATGATAACATCTGATATTTGGTATTATTTGACAACAGACCAACATATAAATGAATATTTTGGCATTTTAAAGACTATAATAAAATAATAATAAAAAAAATAATATGTAATTGAATAAAGGATTCCAAGCAGAACAAACATAAAAAGAATAATTTTATTTTAAGTAAAAGTAAAATGTATAGTGAAGTAAAAAAAAATTTACTCAGAAAACTATATTTCTCTCAAAAAAAAAAAAACTACTAAAGTAACCATATCTGTGTAAATGTAGTAAGTTGCAACCAAACTCTAGTAAGTATACATTGATTGATATTAAAAGTGATGTTTTTCTAATTTTATTTGATAAAATGATTATGTTTTTTAATAAATCTAAAATAAAATAAAAAATGAACAATGCCTTTCCATTGTTTTTGGGGAACATTAGATTTCCTTCTTTCTTGTTCTGAAAAACATCACCTATAGCAATAGAAAGTATTCCAGCCTTCTTCTTGTCAGCTACAGTTCAATCTGAAAAACTCACATGAAGAGAAAAGACAATTAGAAGAAATTTATTGATACAATTACTTAGTCTTTGGCGCTCAGACCTCGGCAGGGAACATAACGCTTAATTTTGATAGATATGCATAAACAGGAGCAAAGAACAGGGCTGTTTCCCCCCAGGCCTGAAACTGGTGGTGGAGTGGAGATAGATGAAGTTGGTCAGTCTGTAGACTGCTGGTTAGCAAGACGGTATGCTGAGCTTTATGGGGAGATGCAGTGAACTGCATGAGCCGATACTAGAGCTTCACTCAGGGACCTGGAAGATGGAAGTTGAGTTTGGATAACACAGGTTGAGAGAACCTGTCCATGATGAGCAAGCATGAAGCGACAGTGGAGAGGAAAAACTCCCCGTTGGGAAGAAACCTCTGACAGAATCAGGCTCAACATGGCGGTCTACGGGAGCAATGAAACTCCAATGAAGTTTTAGCTACGATGGTGGAGGAGGGGCAGGATGTGGGTTGAAACAGTGTCATCTGAATGAAGTCACACAGTGCAACCACCTCCTGCACACTAGGAGCAGACAAGTTGCGGATCTGAGGCCTTTTAAGATGAACTTTGGATGCTGATTGGCTTTTGTAGAGGTGTGGTTCAAAGCTGACTGGCTGTATTGTAGGTGGATGTAGGCGAGCAATCAGTTTCTTCAGTTGAACTTTCGCCTAGGCTCCATCTTCAAACTCCTGAAAAAGGTATAATCTAACTTTAGAGGAAATAAAGGAAATTAACCCCAAATGATAATAAACTTTATTGATATTCAGTAAGGTTGGATATAGTCATTTAAAATATTTGAAGAGAGTTTTAGCCCCCCTTTTATAATCTTTTTTTAATATATCGCAAAAGGTTACATCAGTGCCGAAAAAAACGGGCTTTTCAGTTTATAATTATTTAAAAACTCAATTTAAGGCTAAAACTCTTAAAGGATTGAAGGTGACACCAGAACACTGTAATAACATTTTTTTATTTGTTGAATGTCTTCAACATGAACAACCAGTAAATTGAATTTTAAAAAGTATGAAAATAAGCAGCATCCAGCCATTAAGTTTCTGACTTAAGTCTAAACCCAAAGTTTAAATCTTTGTCAACTTTACCAGAATATTTGCTAACTTAAACCATTCTCCATAAATAGTTGCCCAAGATGAAGATCACCCAACCTGCCTGCGTAAGTTACTTCTAGTGGTTCAGTACTTTATGACATTAATTACAGAGAACCAACAAGCTGCAAATTTCATTTTTCATTCTGCTCTAGTGGCCAATAGGTACAAGCCCCTGCATAAATATGAATACCAATATGAAGCTGAATCTTTGAATGCCATCAACGGGGCTTCAGAACTAAAGAATGGACCCAGGACCTCCTGCAAGGTAGGACTGACACATTTCACAAAAACCTGTGAACACTAGTTTAGATTCAAAAGCTTTTTAATTGTTGCCCAGGTTATAATTGAAGTACCACAAGTGTGCAGTTTCATCATGCACACCACAGACTGCAGTCTGAGTGAGGTGGTAGATGCAGACGCAGAGGGAAACCCTGTGTTCCTTCCAGCTGCCAGCTCCAACGCCTTTGCTGCTGAAATGAAAAAGTAAGAAAAGTACTCCACATAAGATGTTATTAAAAGGAAAAAAGGAACTTATTTAGATATTGATTTGTTGGTAAAAATGTTACACAATTTCTTTCAGACATCCTCTTAAGTTTGTGATTGAAGGGGAATATGACGTGAAGCTCTACCCTGAGGTTGAAGAGACAACAGCTATTCTTAACTTCAAGAGGGGGATTGTCTCTGCCCTGGCTGTGCCTTTGCTGGAGGACGATGAGAGCAGGAACATGGTAGCATCATTTATGAACAAAAATCTTTTTTACTGCATAGCCCTCTAAAGTTATTTGGCACTCCTGGTAAAGATTTGTGAGAAAAATACAACATTTATTGAGGGGAGATAAAATAAATCCCACTCTAAGAAACACTTAGGGATTTTTTTAACAAAATCTTCTGTAACGCTATTTTTTGCTCTTCTGCAGTTAATTTACTTCAGATATTATATTTTACATACATAGCATTTTCTACAGCATTTTGAAATGCCTTGCATTGCTATAAGTATATGCTGAGTGTATGATGTCTGTGATTTTTTTTAATCAATCATTCATCAAAAGTGGTATGGTTTTTGTCTCACTGAATTAATATGTCTATTTTAAAGTTCACCCTGTTTGCCAGTACGTGTTAGGGAGCACTTTGATTGCACTTTATCATTGTACAAAATAGGTTATTTATTTTCTCTATTATATCATCTTTATGTTAGCCCACAATTCATGGAAAGTGCATGACATCCTACAAAAACGATGGCAGAGAGGACAGTGTCACTGACATCAGCCTGTACAGGGATCTGTCCAACTGTGACAAGTTTTCACCAATAAGAGATTATAACAGCCCTCTGGCTCTCATCACTGGCATGGTAAGACTCCTTTACGTCATTTCGAAGGACATCTCAATCACTGTTTTTGCATAAATAATCTGTGAAAGCGAAAAACACTACATTTATAACAGATTTAATCGTATATATTTGTTGTGATGTGAAACCTGACTTTAATAACAACAACCATTAAAGTTTTGATGCCATCAAAACATGTATACAGTTTACAAATGTGTTTTTAAAAGGGCCTTAATTAACATGACAATCTCCTCATTTTTAGCACTATCCTTTGGCTCAGCTGGTCAGAAGCTCTCAAACATGTAAATACCAGTTTGATAATGAGAAAAAACACATGACTTCAGGTTCCTGCACCGAAGAACACCTTCTCATTCCCTTCTCTCACAAGTAAAACAAAACCTTAAATACTGTTTATTGTATAATTTAATGTATCATCCTATATAGATATGTATATATATTATAAGATTACATATTAAACTTAACTATTTTTTTCCAAAGGGGAAAATATGGATTTAACAATGTTGGAAAGCAGGGACTGACTCTGGTTCAGGTTTCTTCTCACAATGACAGAGTATTTGAACATGGTAAGAACTTTGTATAATATTAGTGCTATCATGTAATATTACATAATTTTTTATATGAAATCATATCACATCATTTTTTTTATTAAGTTAGTATGTTTATTTAAGTATTTTTGCATATATATAATAAGCATAAATGTGTTTGGAGAGGGTAGGAACATCTTACTTTTTTACCTCTATTTACCTTTGTAGTTTTGATGCATTTTTTACTTAACATAGGAAAAATAAAAAGTATTTATCACCACAAGATGCATTGTACCAAGAAGTATATGACTATAAGTATATAACTTATATAACTTAAATATACTGCTCAAAAAAATAAAGGGAACAAGTAAACAAGACAATATAACTTCAATCAAATCAAATTTCTGTGAAATCAAACTGTCCATGGAGGGAGCAACATTGATTGATGATCAATTCCACATGCGGTTGTGCAAATTGAATAGACAATAGGTGGAAATTACCGGTAATTAGCAAGACACACTCAATAAAGAGTGTTTCTGCATGTGGGGAAAACAGACCTTTTCTCATTATCTATGCTTTCTGCCTGATTTGATCACTTTTGAATGTTGGTGGTGCTTTCACACTCTTGGTAGCAGCAGATGACCTCTACAACCAACACAAGCAGCTCAAGTAGTGCCGCTTATCCAGGATGGCACATCAATGCGAGCAGTGGCAAGAAGGTTTGCTGCATCTGTCAGTGTAGTGTCCAGAGGCTGAAAGGCGCAACCAGGAGACAGACCAGTACACCAAGAGATGTGGAGGAGGTCGTAGTAGGGCAACCACTCAGCAGCAGTACCGCTAACACTGCTTGTGAGTAAGGAGAAACATGAGGAGTACTGCCAGAGCCCTCCAAAAGGACCTCCAGCAAGCCACAAATGTGCATGTGTATGCACAAACTGTTAGAAAATGACTCGATCAGGATGGTATGAGGGCCCGATGGTCATTATTGGGGCTTGTGTTCCCAGCCCATCACCATGTAGGACGCTTGACATATGCCAGAGGACACCAGGATTGGCAGATTCACTACTGGCACCCTGAGACACAGTGGAGAGCGATCTGCTGCCTGCAACATCTTTCAGCATGACCAGGTGGTAGTGGGTCAGTAATGGTGTGGGGTAGCATTTCGTTGGAGGGCGACACAACCCTCCGTGTGCTCACCAGAGGTAGTTTGACTACAATAATGTACTAAGATGAGATCCTCAGACCCCTTGTGAGAGCATATCCTGGTGTGGTTGGCCCTGGGCTCCTCCTAATGCAGGACAATGCTAAACCTTATGTAGCTGGAATGTGAAGTGCCTGCAAGATCAAAGAGTTAAAGATATGAACTAGCCCGCCTGTTCCCCAGACCTGGATCTAATCAAGCACATCTGGGACATCATGTCTCGATCTATCCACCAATCACTTTGCACCAGATACTGTCCAGGAGTTGGCAGATACTTTAGACCAGGTCTGGTAGGTCTCCAGGAGATGTGGACGAGGCTGACTGCTCAGGGATTTCACTGGGAGGGGATCTCTCAGGAGACCATTGAATAGTATTGAGTGAGAATACTTTTTTTCATTCAGATCTAGGATGTGTTATTTGAGTGTTCCCTTTATTCCTTTGAGCAGAATTATAAACTGATGAAACAAAGTACTACCGGTACATTAAGAATTCTTAGTAGTTGAATTCACCAACCTCAATTCCTGAAAAGGTGAAGCACTTCATTTTAAATACACCCAAGTGGGATCAGATTGCTTTAATCACATAATGAATTAAAGCAATATTTGGAATCAGATATCTGTATTTATCAGGCTGCATTTTTACAATGTTAGTCTGACGATCTCAAGGATGTCATAAGTGGAAAAAAGAAACAAAGAGTAAATTTGTATGAGTAAAATATAGTGTTTTTTGTGTTATTTAGGAAATCATTTTGTAGTTTACAGATTAAAGGTAATTTATTATAGTACATTTTAAAATAAAAAATAGTAGCAATGAGACCCCAAAGCATATTTTTGTCATTTGTGAAGGAAAATTCCTCTCAGATTAAGCAGATCATGTACCAAAAATCTCCTTATTCAGCTTGATGAGCTGTTTTGGCTTTCAACACCCCTGTCCTCCCAACAGCAACACCCCCACAACCATGACAACCAGTCAGAGTTAATAAAGATAGCCTAGGAGCATGGAATAATACATAAAATTAAGGCCAGAGCTTAACCAATTGGCTGCAGCTTATTTCCCTTTAATACATCATAAAGGGCAAACTTTTCAAACAGACCAATTGAGGTCACAGGACTCTTTTCATTTGTGAACTTCATACACAGGCTTTAGGATGCATGTGACTGCTACAAAATGTTTATAAAGTGAATTTTGCATAACATGGGACCTTTAATGCAATTCTTTGACTCTTTGTTATCAAGATAACATTCCCAAGGACCTCAACATTGAGGTTGTTGAAGACAAGAGCCCCATTCAGGATAAGAATGAAGCTGTGGATCTCATGAGGGAACTGGTCAATTTGCCAGACACAGATGAAGAGAGGCGAGCACAGCTTTTCTACAAACTCATCACAACAGTCCGTGGAATGAAGACTGAAACCCTGAGAGCTGCTCTTCCAGAGATTGTCACATTGTCACGCTTCCTCACCTACCAGGTTCTGGCACAGTGTGGAACCCCTGAGTGCAGCAGTACAATTATGCAAATTCTCAGGACCTTTGACCTCTCCGACTTTGAGGTTGATGCTGCTGTTTTTGCTTTGGGACTCATGTCTAACCCCTCTGAGCTCCTGATAACTGACATGCTTGCAATGGCCAAGCACAAACCTAGTAGGACCATCATGTATGCTCTGAGCAATGTTGTGAAGAGGTAGGAGAAAATGTCTTATTTTGCACAGAATTTCTCAGAAATAGGATTCATCTAACATACCGGTATGTAAAATGTCCCCCTATTTATATTTAATACTTTGTCTTACATGCAGATTTTACAAAGTGGAAAAAAGAATAACTCCTGAGATTCACTCTGTTGCTGAGTTCATGGCTTCTCAATTGGGCGACTGTACAGAAGAAATGGAAAATACTTTCATGACACTGCGAGTAAGTATCACCTGATAACTCTAGTCAATCCACAGTTAAGACGAATTTAATATAAAAAAGTCCTAAAATTGTCTTATTAGAAGCAAGTGAAAGGACAAGGGGAAAATATATTAACATGTTTATTTACGTGTAGTTAATAGTAGAATATCTGTTTTTGCGACAACCTTTTCTGACAACCCGTAGATGTCTCCTTTATATGGAAAACCCTCATCTCTACTGCTTCTGAAGGATTTTCACCACATTGTTCCTAGAAAGATTTTTAGATTTTGGAAGTTTTGGGCTCTTCTTTCATTAATTCGAATTAGCCTGTTGTTTCTATAGAATTTCAATTGCTTGAAAGTTTCAGGGTTTGCTTGTTTGTTGAAAATTTTTTTATTTTATTGTTTATTATTTTATTTGACTTAAGATTTTTATCATGACTATTCTTCATAACTTTTCCTTGTTTTCATAAAGCTATTTATTAATTCCTTAAAGAGATTTCAATTTCTGTAAAATATTGAGAAGCTCTTGAATTCCATCCAAAGTTCTCTAAGCTGTTTCTGCAAACTCTGTTAGTCCCGCCTTTGAAATCAGCCTCTACTTCCTCCTTTCCAAGCTGGGGCCATCTGGCTGGACAGGCTAGATAGCTAGGCTTTCATTGCCTTATTGCATCTGCTCTCCATGAATTCAAAACCTACTGTATTCTGTGTCATTACACCTTAACACACACAAATTTTCTTAGACTTATTGTTGTTGATTTTTTTTTTTTTTTATGATTGTATCTGGATTACTAGTGTAGTTACTGATTTTTATATCCCCATTAGACATACATTTACTAAGAAAAAAAAAGCCCATTTCCTAAATTTCTCAGCTGTGGTCTGTGGATTTTTTGGCAAATCAGTCTGAGTTGTTTCTTTTTAAAGGTGTGCAATGTCATCTCTTTTTGGACGATCCAAGAAAAATAACAATCAGTGGCAATTTTTCTTAATTTGTTTTAGGTTATTGGAAATATGGCCACAGTTGTGATCCCAGTTAGTCCTGCACTACGTAGTGCTGTGATCCAATGTGTGAAGCAGCCAGCAGCTTCTCCAGAAGTGCAGCAGACTGCTATTCAAGTGTTCAGGAAGATTCCAGTCCAGGATGAGGTAAATTAAATAACACTATCCAAAGTTGTTATTTCAATTGTTACTATGTCTTTATTAACACCGTTCCTGTTGATTTTCGTTGCAGATAAGAAGCGTGTTTATGCAAGTACTTTTGGACAACAGCAACCCTGTGCAGGAGCGCATTGCTGCATATCTGATCATCATGAAGGACCCACAGCTGAGTGAGCTCACAGAGATGACCGGTGCTTTGTCCAGTGAGGTGAACCAGCAATTCAAGAGCTTTGTAATCTCACACATCACCAACATTCTGTCCTCGACTGAGCCAGAAACTGAAGCGTAAGAGGGAGTAATATGACTGAATGAAATGCGGGCACATTTTTTCATTTCTCCTTATAATTGAGTATTTTCCTTTTCTCAGATTGAGACAGAAAATTCAGGATGCCCAGCAAGGTAATGAAATCGGACCCACATGGGACCCGTTAAAGTTTTCTCAGAACTATAAGATTGGATCTGTGCAGAGCAACGTCATTTTTGAGGGTGTCAGCTACTTGCCCAAAGAGGTTATGCTTGAAATGACACTAAAAGCAATTGGCTTCGAGATTGACATGATTGAGGTAAAGGTGTTAAAATGCTGAATACCCTTCTTACCATATAAACTTTGCTATACTGAGACACTGTTTCATTTTTTTTAAATCATAATCTTTGTAGATTGGTATAATGGGTGAAGATTTTGAACCAACAGTTGAGGCCCTGTTTGGAGACAGTGGCTTTTTTCCTGACACTGCGCTGAAGACAATCTACTTTGTCTCCGAAATCATGCCAGAAAGAATCAATGAGATTGTAGGGAAAATCATACCTGGAATGAAGAGGAACAGGATGAAGAGGGAGGTAGAGTAACTTTATATCCAGAATATCTAAAATGTTAATGGCTGCTTTGGATATTTGTGTTTGTGTTCAAACAGCTATAAAAAATTGTAAACATTTGCATTCAGTCTTTTAGACAATTTGACGTTCTGATGAAGGAAATCTTGCGAAACACTGAGAAGCTGGTGGAAAAACTCGATAATGCAAAGTCTCCAGAAGCGACTGTTTATCTGAAACTCTTGGGAAATGAACTAGGATACCTAAAGATTAATGACTTTTATGCAGTTAAGTATTCTGCAGACAAGATGGTGGACAAGATGCTTAAGATGTTTCCACATGAGGTGAGTTTATAAAATGATATTATCTAAATATAAGTAAAAAAAAAAAAAAAAAAAACAATTACGAATTTATTGATTTTCTACAGATACCGCAGATACTGAGGTCTCTAATGACTAACACTGACACCAAAATCTCTGGTCACTATATCTTCATGGACAATGAATTCTTCCTTCCAACTGCCACTGGAGTTCCTCTAAGGATTGCTCTTTCTGGTACTTTTACTCCCGGTTTTAAAGGTGGACTTCAGATTGCCCGCGACATGGTGATTATCTGTAACTGTGGTTAAAGAATACTTAGTATTTCCACAAGATTAACCCAAACGTTGCTGCTTCAACCTCTTTGCTATGTTTACCCACAGAGCACAGCTAATTTTATGCCAGTTGGTGGCATTGAGTTCGTCACCCAGTTTGGATCACACATCCCTGAATATCTCAGTTCTGGTCTAGAGATGCATACTAACATTTTCCATGAGAGTGGGATCAGAGCCAGGTTGACAATGGGAAAGGCTCGTGTAAAGCTCACTATTCCAGCTCCAACGAAACCCACCAAGCTAATAAGAATAACGTAAGCCTCAACGACGATCAAACATGTTTACAGCTTTCAGACATTATGTTCCAAATAAAAAAACAAAACAGATTTTGCTATATTTGCAATTTAGAAACTCCCTTGTGGCTGTAACTGGATCAGTCGTACGGATGATTCCTCCTGTGGTGAAAGACAAAGTTGATGTAATGAAGTGCACACCTGCTTTTGCTGGATTGAAATACTGCTCTGCTCTTCAGTACATCGATGCATTCTCTCATGAGACTGCCCCTTATTTCCCTTTGAATGGTGACAGCAGGTCAGTTCAACATTCTTAACTGCAAGTAAGTAATGCCATTAAAGGAATAGTACACCCAAAACATGATTAGCCTTCATTTTCTACTCACCCCCATGCTGAACAACACTCTGGAGTACTTTTTTGATATCTCAAATGCATCTGGAGATCTGGGAGGCTTCTTGCTGTCTGCTGACATTCAAATAATGGAGGTGCCCAGCGCCCGAGGCAGAAAGGTCCATAAAAGTCCACAAAAAACATTTCAATATTCCTCCATACTGCTCGTCCAATGTATTCCAAGGCCGGCAGACCAAACCAGCGCATTCAGCTCGGCAAAGAACTCATGCTTTTCCTCAACACTGAAGTCCTCAGACATTTTTCTTTCGTTGTTTCTTTCTTTGCACAGGTAAACAGCACATTTCTTCTTCTACGCTTGCATTATTGGCAGAGCAGACGCTGAATGCGCACTTTCATCTGGTTTGGTCTGCCGGCTTCCGTAGCCTCGTGATCGCGCATGTGCGCGCTTTCAGGAAATCCTATACACTACTGTTTATGCTCTAAAAACATTCTAAATGACTTCGTTTCGAGTAAATTCTGGATGCTACCCACTCAGGACACTTGGAATACATTGGACGAGCAGTATGGAGGAATATTGACACGTTTTTTGTGGACTTTTATGGACCTTTCTGTCTCAGTCACCATAGACCTCCATTATTGAATGTCAGCAGACAGCAAGAAGCCTCCCAGATCTCCAGATGCATTTGAGATATCAAAAAAGTACTCCAGAGTGTTGTTCAGCATGGGGGTGAGTAGAAAATGAAGGCTAATCATGTTTTGGGTGTACTATTCCTTTAAGAAGAGAACAAGATTAGTTCACAGGTTATGTTTACTGAACAACAGATTTGCTTTTGAGCTCCATCCCACTGGAGAAGTTACAGAGTACACTGCCACTGTTGCATATGAGGACCTCATGGAAGGAGACGAGCCCAGAAATAAGGTTGATGTCCTAAGGTTCATCTTCAAAGTTGAAGGTAGGAGTCAATACCATTGAAACAAAAATGTATAAATCTTGAGAAATTCAAAGTTAGTCATTGCATGATTACCAACAGGGGCAGACCCAACCGAAGCCCAACTGGTGACAAAATATAACAGGGGAATGAATGTCATCACGGCTGATGTTCAGATCCCCGACTTTGATGTGGAGGCAGGACTTAGGTTTGGTGTTGGTGATGGCAAAACCAAAGGCAAAGGAATGCATACCTTCTCTATTGACTTTATCAACAAGAACATCCCCCAGCTGTCACTGGTTGTACGTGCCAAGTAAGACATTAGATATGAATAGATAAAAAAGCAGATATGTGACCATGATGTTTTTATCTAACCAGCTAAACATGTTTCAGTCTGAAGGACATGAAATCAGGCATGCTGCAAGTCCAGCTTATGGTGCCCTCAATCAGAGCTGAATCCACTGTCACCGCTAGCCTGAAACGTGATGAGGAACTGGAAGTGGAGGTTGAGAGTGAGATTAAGATCATGGATGCCAAATCAAAGCAGAAAATTGAAATGACATATGGTAATCTCCTTTTATTTTTCTAAATATGTTTTCCTTCTTTATAATATTTTATTGCTAGAATGCTTAACTATGTTCTATTGGAATTTGATTCATTTAAATGATAGTCTTTTTAAGGAAGTAATGCTGGTAGTAACTTTGTGTTTTTTTTTTGTTTTTTTTTAGATGGCAGTAAGATTGAGCTTGAGTTCAAATCTGATGTGAACACAAAAACCAACTCCCTGCCTAATGGTGACGTTATTCAGAAGTATGGCAATGAGATCCTTGACATGCGAGTAGCGCAGACTGACATGAAAGTTCGACATATCTTCAGGAAATTTGTGGAGGTATTTTTTTCCTATTTGGTCCTTTTTCAGAGATCTGAACAGGAAAATAAAAACAAACAAAAGCAAAACATGCCTCTGCTTTCTTTAGGCAGCAAACAACTACATGGAAAAGTACGGTGCTGAAATCCTCCCTTACATGCAAAACTTTAGGCTGCCTGATATACCTGATATCGCCCTGCCGGAGAAACTCTTCCTGAATATGTAAGATAATTACATTTAACAGTAGTTTTTTTTTTAGATAAACAAACAACAAAATTCACATATGTAACCTGCATTTTTTTGTTACAGGGATGCAAAAGCTGTCTACCACTTTAATAAGGATCGCTGCATAATTGTTTTCCCACTGCCCTTTGGAGGAAAGAAAGCATCAGCCTTCAACTTCCCACCAGTTCTGACCACTCCTAGCATGTCGCTACCCCAATTTGGATTGGAAATTGTCTCCAGAGAAATACCCATCCCAGATTTTGTAATACCAGAGAATTTCACTGTGTCTGTTCCTCACTTTGGAAAAATTGAACTTACAACTTTGATGAACAGCAACCTTTATGATGTGGAGGCAACACTAGCGGCTGGAAAAGATGTTGTTGAACCACCCAGCTATTCTGCAAAATTTGATGCAAAAGGAACTTCCCCGATTGACATCCTGTCTGTGGCAGTTGAAGGTATTTAATGATGATTATTATCTCTGTCATGCTGAAAATGGTGAAAAGGTGCTTCTGCCAAAACATCTTAGTTATTTTAATGATTTTTTAATTGTGTCACCAATATGTGAGTATCGAAAATGACAATAAAATTTTTTGGTATATGGTATCTCAGAAAACTACTTTTAAAGGTTTTCAATTGCCTCTATCTGATGAATTTTTTATAAGTCCACCCAATAATCCAGTGTAGAAAACACTGCTTTATGTTATTAATTTATGGGGAAAGAGGCAACCAAACATTTGCTTAGCAAATTTGCAGAGGCATAGATAAACAGTTTAATTTAGCTATGTATTGGTCGGTATTCCTCACAAATGGTTCTCATTCTCTTTCTTTCTATATAGGTGTAGGGATGGTGTCCATCACTGAATCAATCAAGGCTCATTTAAGAAGCTCTCTCACCCACAAATTATTTGAAGCCAGTTTCAGTACTGAAGACGAAGGCATCATCACAGAAAAAATTTCTTTGACATCAAGAAGAAAAATAGAGGCATCAAGTCAGTTTGGTTTTAATGCAAAACTAGAGCACAACTGTACAACTGAACTTGTCACTCAAGAAATAGTAATCAAGAATGACTTTGAGGGATCCTTAAAGGCTGGTCCAATCTATGGAACAACCACTTCCATCCAGAAAGTTTCTGTGATCCCCTTCAGGCCAGCAGGGAAGATTAATTCTTTGATTATCTTTGACTCAACAATTTTTGATGCCCAGAACAAAATTGATGCATCCCTTGGCAATGGTGAATTCTCAGTTAATTTAAATACCAAAGCCTTTAAAGACCTCTTTACACATGTTGCAGAACTTTCTTTTATAGATAATGAGGTGGTAGTTAAATGCGATGCAAGCGCTCATGCTCTCGGCCTGGAGATTCGACATCAAACTGAAGCTTTTGCTGGAGCTGGCAAAGCTACCATAAGAATAGAGACAAATGGAGACCACTCTGATAATCGTGTTTACTCCCTACTTACCTCCACCTTCGATTCTAATGGACTGGCAGTAAAATCCAATGCAAACATCAAGCTTTTTGACAATGAAGCTACACATGAAGCTACAATGAGAATGGATTCAGATGGTTTAAGCACAAGTGGAATAAATACTCTCCACAGCCCACTGTCTTTAGAAAACCGATTCAGTTTTGGAATTGATGCTAAAAGAGGAACTCTATCCATTAGCAACAAAGCAGCCATTCATGATATCAAAATAGATAATGCTAACACTCTAACCATCACTCTCTCCAGCCTGGACTTCAGCTCACAGGCTGAAGCTAGTGCAGCTGCCTACGCATCTTACAATCATGATATCAACTTTGGCCTGAAGCATCAAACTGCCTCTGCAAAAATTAACAACCACCTTAAAATTCTGGAAGCAACCTTTGATAATGATGCACAGCTACAGGCAGAGCTTTACAAGATTGACCTGACTGGAAGTCTGAAGGCCCAATATGGAGAAGAAGAAATAAAGCACACGTATCAGATTAATTATGCAGATCTAAGTGCGAATGCAAAGTGCAACACCATCGGAAAGCTCTTTGGCACTAAAACAAGCCACAATACTGAGCTTGAAATTGCTGGCTTTGCTGCAATGTTTAGAAATGAAGCCCACTTTAACTCCCAACTTATTCGCTTTGAACATACCATGCGTTGCAATGTTGTTCCATTTGATTTCAACCTTGATTCAGTTTTTAGTGGCGATGGAGACCTTACCATCTATGGAAAGCACAGCGCCCAGCTTTTTAGCAAGTTCCTTCTCAGAGCACAACCCCTGGCTTTGACCAGCAGCCATCAATGTAGAGCGTCAATGACCCAGAAGCTAGATAATGGCCTTTCCTTTGAAACCTCTTATGATAACAATATAGACGCTGTTCTGTTACCCCAGGAGCAAATAACGCGTTTTAGAACTAAATCTAAAATGAATGAGCATGAATTCAATCAAGGCATAGATATTTACAATACTCAAGAGAGGGTTGGAATAGAGGTTTATGGCAATATTTTTACAAACATAATTAATGCGGCTTCTACAGAGAACCAAGAGTTTGCCATCTCTGGCTTTCTCAAGTATGACAAACACACACAAAGTCACATTATTTATGTCCCTCTTATTGAAAATCTCCCTGTATTCTTGGAGGCCATCAAGGAAATTGTTGTGGTTGTAGCAGAATCTTTGCAAAATTTCATCAATAACAAGGAGATAAGGGCAAGATTCGAGGCTCTTCCTCAGGAAATAAGTGAATTTATAGCTCAGTTTAAAATAGAACACAGGATAAATCAGGTGAAGGAATTTTTCAGTGATTTTAAACAAAATGTTATCAATGCAGAGAATGTTGATGCAGTTTTATTAACTCTAAAGGATTCTATTCAGATATTACTAAAAGATCTCTCCTCTTATATCAAAAACTCCATTGACTTCATAGGTGCCAACCTCCATGAAAGCTTTAATCTGAAGATAGAAGATGTTCTGGAAGGTATGAAGGAACTCAAAGTTACAGTTCTTCATTTTATTAAAACCATAAGAGAAATTATCCAAGAGATTGACCTAGAAAAATTGAGGGGTAGCAGTATTGAATTCTTGTATGATGTTGAAGTCCACTATGGCATCAAAACTAAAGTACAGAACATGATGACTGCTGTTAAAGACTTGGTTGATGAGCTTGACTTCTTAAAACTTGACTGGTTTATCTTACCTGAAAGAGTTAAGGACTCTGTTGATTTGTTTTTGAATTTTATTCCGGCAGAAATAATTGGAAATATCATAGATGATATTAATGGTACGATTAATGACTTTAAGCTTATTTCCAAAATTAACAAATTTTTTGCTAAGATAAGGGATTTGGTTGTAGATCTTGAGGTTGACCAAAAGGCTAAGGCTCTATTGGAAAAAGCAGCAGAATTTATAAAAATGATCAGAATACAGGAAACGCTCCAGGTTGTGGTAGACATTGTCAAGGAGTTTGAGGTTCCAAACAGATTTATGGCAATCTTCCAAGGCACTATTGACTATTTAAAGACAACTGAGGTTAAAGATATCATTGAACATTTAAACATGTATATTGAAACTATGGTGCAAAAGCTAAAGTCCCTCAATTACAATGACCTTGTGGAAAAAAACAATCAAATTATTGAAGAGTATAGAACTCACACAAATGAGATACTAAGGACCCTCCAAGTTTCGGAGAAAATTGAGGCAGCACTTGAATTTGCCAATGTAATAATTTCCTCTATTCGAGACGATTTGGAGCGTCTGAGAGAAATAAAAGTTGCAAAAATTGTTAATTCTGCTACAGATATCTATGAACATTTAGTTTGTGATTCCCTTAAGACATTTACCGAATACATAAAAGTGAAAGTGAGAGATCTGAACATTGAAAGAATACTTTCAGTTCCTTTGGACATCATGAGCATTTTCTACAGTTACACTATAAATATAATTACAAACTCAATACTTGATTTTCTAGAAAAAATAAAGGAGGGGACTCCTGATGAAAAATATATTATCGAAGTAATGCAGATCATTAAAAGTATTAAAAATCTACTTTTGAAAGCTGAAATCAATACACCTTCCTTTACATTTCCTCTAACAGATCTTGTTGTCCCTTCTACAAAACTGGAGCTTAATATATTCAGACAGAATCAAATTCCAACAGAACTTGCCATACCAGAGTTTACCATCATGGGTATGTACACCGTGGAAGCTTTCAATATTTCCTTTGATGACATCAAGCAAAGGATTATTGAACTTATAGATTTCATAGTGAACTCTAAAATAAAAATGCCTGATCCAGATGCTTTCTTCGGAGAACTAACTTTGAATTACCTTCCATCTCTTCCTGAAATCACCTTTCCAGAAATCCCTCCTTTTGAGGTTGCATTCCCAAGTATCCCGCAAATAGATACAGAAAAGTTTTTTAAAGCTCTAGAGATTCCAGAAATCAAGCTGCCAGAAATTCCAAAAGAGATCGTGCTTCCTTGCTTTGGTAAACTTTATGGTGAGATTAAATTCCAATCTCCAATCTACACCATCAAGACATCTGTAGAGTTTGTGAACTCCACTGAAAACAAAATGTCCCCTTTATTTACTGGATCATTTAGTTCTCAGGCCACGTGTCCCAGTGTTGAAATTCTTAATTACATGCTTGACACCAACATTCGCATTGCAGTCCCAAAAATGAAACGTGTTCTCCTTTCTGAAATGTTAACGTTCAAACATGCTATCCTAGGAATTGAACACCAGGCTTCCGTCACACTTTATGGTATTTTGTCTCAAGCACAAGCCCAAGCAAAGACCAAAGTTAAAGTTGTCACTGCACCTTACTCACTTGACTTCATGAACACAGCCTTTATTGCGGTAGCAGAGGGAATGACTTCTACTGTCGACACAACTTACTCTCACAAAATTGACATGCCATTTGATATTTCCAGTATTGTTACAGTAACTCAGAAGGCAGTTGTTCAGCAAAAGGGCCTAGCTTTGAATTTTGAAGTTGATACTACAGGAAAAGGACATATTAATAGCAATGATTGTAACTATAAGAGCAGGCTTGATCTATCTCTCAATCCCAAGACGTTCAGCTTATCATTTACTGGTGACACAGAGTCTGAAATCCTAAAGATGAAACAAGTCATTATGGCAGAATCACTCACTTTCAGCTACGTTAAATTTAGTGTACGGAATGAGGCAGAGACACCATTTATTAAGAAAAGTCTCCTTGTGGCATCTGGCCTTGCCAACCTCTACGATATGAAGATCGAGATAAAAGTAAACCATGATACTGAACTGCATGGTACAGACAGTGGCATGGTTTCCAATGCAGTCAACTTCAAAGTGGCCCTTGCTGAATTGTTCTTTGAAATGCAAAACAAGGCAAATGGCAAGGTCAATGTTTTTGATTATTTGAATGCCAAAATAGAGCTGCAAAGTGATTACTTGGTCAATCTAAGACATGACTCTCAAAAAGTGAATTCTGCCTTCCTATCTCGTCTAAATCAGTACAAAATATTCTCCAACTTCACTGTAGATAACACCAAAAGTCATGCTGGTGTCTTTGTTGAAATGGATGGTCAGGCTGATCTGTCCTTCCTGGAATACCCAATTAGCATTCCTGAGATTGATCTACCCTTAGTGGACTTCCATTCTCAACCTATTAATGACTTGAACTTGTTTGAGAAGACTGGGCTCAAAAAGATTTTGTCTACCACTGAGCAGACTTATAATTTAGATGCCAAGATCCTTTACTTGAAAAGCGATAGTGCCCCACTCATTGATGTTATGGGTTTAATTCAGATCCCCTATATGGGTAAACTGAACTCAGAGTTGTCTTTCAAGTCTGCTATTCTAAACATAAATGCAGAGAGTTTGCTTTTTGCTGAAGATGATCTTGTCCTCCGCCTGGGAGCTACCACCACCTCAGTGTTTGAATGTCTTAACACAAAACTCAAAGGCTCAACCAGTCTTACCATCAAGAGTGGAATCAAAGTAGCCAATTCCATATCCCTTGAAAACTGTTACATTAAAGGCGCTCATGACAGTACCTACAGCATGAGCACTGTCTCTGCATCTACATCATTAAATATTGTTCTACCTGTACTCAACCTGGAAGCAAGCCAAAAGCTGATTGCAAATAGCAATCTAAAACCAAATGCCCTGTCCACTCTGAAGCTTAAAGGGGATTTCAACATCCCTATGATAAAAACAGTTGGACAAGTTGAAGCAGAGCACAGTGGGAAAGTGGAAGGAGACGTTGATCATCTTTCAGTGGACTCGTCCTTCAAGTCAAAAATGGACAGCACATATTTGGAAAAATATCTAGTTTTAGGAGTGCTGGAAAACGAGGCTAATATGTACCTAAACACAAACATTGTCCGCTCTACTTACCAGATAATTGCTGATGTCAAGCTCAGTAATGGCGCCACCAAAATCATTGGCATGGATGTAAACCAACAGCTGGCTGCTGAAGCTTCAGTAGACCATCTTTTTGCAATGCTAACTCATTCAAGCAACAATGAAATAGACCTGTTCAGCTTCAAAACTGTTGGAAAACACAATGCAAAGACAAGTATTGACTGTGCACCATCTTCATTGCAGGCTGATGTTGAAATTGATATAACTCAGCCTAGCAGTCTGGGCAACTTTGCTTTATTTGAAAAGGCCATTGCTGAAGGGAATCCTTCCAAGCAAAAGTTTTCTACAAAGGCCATGTTTGTCAGCCCACTGTACAACACTAGTATGCAAGCTGAAGTGGAGGGCAGTGCCCCTGTCCTTAATGTTACCTTTAAGTCCTCAGCCAACTCTGCTATTGTGCTTTTGGAATATAATGTTGAAGGTAAGTTGATAAAAAATTTGACAATATATTTATGCTATTTCATATTTGAAGTACTGCTAAGCTCAGAAGCCGATATTTCTATTTATTCTCCAAGGATCTACCACTTTCCACTTTGAGAATGACCTCCTGAACATGGTCAGCAATCTGGTCCTGACTCACTCTGACCTTGGCATGGATGTTAACCATGTGATTGTTCAAGCTTTAAGGTAACATTCTATTCCATTTTTATTTATTTCTATTAGTATTTAAACAAAATGGCCTATTTTATTAATATTAATCAACTGCTTAATAAGTGAGGTTTTTTTCCCCATTTCAAATGCTTGTCTGCTCTCTCAGTGTCCCCCAACATAAGTTGAGTGTGGTGATCACCAGTCCTAACTTCAGTGACTTGAACCTGCAATATGAAGCTCAAAGAGATGCTATTACTGCCTCTATATCATCTCCATCTGCTGGCTACCTTGGCCTTCAGTTCAATTCTAGAGATCCATCCCAAACGATTGTTAGATTCTATGGACGTTATGTTGTAAGTATCTTTAATCTTTATTATACAAAGCAACTTTCAATTAGAAATCTAAATATGACTGAATTAACATTTGTATTCTCTGTCCAGGGAGCTGCAGAGACTGATGTTGACATCTTGCTGGTCAGATTCTCTCAGACCAACATACAGATTGTCTACAACATGAAGGCACCAGAGGACATGATAGCTGAGCTCAAGACAAAAGTCCCCTCAATTATGTCTTCTGTTAAGGCTTTTGCTGAAAAGTACCAAATCACAAGCAGCATGGAGGTGCTGCAGCACTCTCTCATTAACCATGTCAATGAAGCATATGATGTTGCAGTCAATTATGATGTTCAACTGAGTCAGTTATCCATTTTCTTTAGAAACACCATAGTCAGATACCAAAAAAATGTTGAAAAATTTCTTAAAGCTGTCATCAAGGTCTTGAGAGAGATCCACTTCAAAATGCCTGGATCTAATGAGCTGATCACTCTTCCAGACCTCTTAAAGAAGCTGACCAATAGCATTGCTAATATGTTGGATGTAACTATGCAGTTTATATATGAGTGCATGGAGGTCTACTATGAGTATTTTCTTGAGAACATCATCAATGCTCAAGTGCAGTTGCGAAGTGGTGAGGTGATTAGTGGAAGGCAGATAATTGATCAGGTTAAAGCAAGTGTGAAAAATATCTTTCATGAAGCGATAGACCTTGTGAAAAATATAGAGACCCTTGACACAATCCTTGGAAAGCTAGATGATACCCTGGAAGCTGTGGTGAAGAAAACAAAGGAGTTTGTTGACTCTATCAAGTCTGACTATTTAGATGTAGTGTTCATCAACTTAAATGACCTCTATCGGGAGGTTGTAACATCTGTTAAGAAAATAGTTGATCAGATGCCTCCCTTTAACTTGGATGAAATCAGTAAATTATGTCAATTCATTTTAGACAGGATCATTGAACTAATAGTTCAGTTCAATGACGGGGTTTCTGATTTTCTGCAGCAAACTTCAGAGGAGGTACAAGCTCAAATGGCAATAAGAAATGGTAAACTGGAGATAAACCTTCCATTTCATTTCCAAGATTAAATGTCTCAAGAATACTGAAAACTAAGTCTGCATTTCATGTTACAACCTGTCCAGCTTTTATATTTGAAGACTTTGAACAACTCAACAGTATTTATAGGTATGTTTAACATAAACTCTCATTACATTCTTCTGATTGGGATTTTTTCTGTACGAAATCTGAACTTGTAGTACTTCAGTGGAGGTCAAATTAAACAATAAAAGCCCATTTTACAAACTTCAAGTGAGTGATTTATTGTTCTGCTCTTTTTTTTATTTCTGGCCTTTTCCCCTTATCATTAAAGCAATGTCACAAAGAAGACACCACGGGGAAAAGATGCAAAAGGTATCATTCATTGAGGGAAAGACAAAACAAGTGGGCTGAAAAACCAAAATAAAAAAAGCTCTAAAATAAATAAAAGCTCTAAAATAAAGGGTGGTAAATACTTGGCAAAGAAATTCAGTCTTTTACTCAAGGAGGGGAAAAAATGGAAAATTTTCCAAGGCTGCAAGGACAACCCTGAGGGAGGTTGTCCTTGCAGCTTGTGATATCCTTATCCTTGTGACAAGAAGTTTACCTTTTCTTGCTGAGTACAGTATGTATAAGCATTAGCAGTAACATCACCTTTACAGAACTCCAGCTTCCTCCTCAGTCTAAGAACATGACTGTTAGGTTAGTTAGCGTCTCTAATTGTCCTTAGGTGTGAGTGTGTGTGTGCATGGTTATATCTGTCTGTATGACTATGTGTTGCACCCAGACAGACTGGCAAAGTGTTCGTAGTGTTCCCCGCCTTTCACCCACAGGCGGCTATTGGAATTAGACGCCAGCCCCACCATGACCCTGATGGATAAGTGGATGGATTGAGGATGTTTGCAGGTCAAAAAAATTTTTAATAGTATGGCACTTTGACCTTTTGTTACTTTTTTTAAATGTGAAAGGGGAGTGCTGGCCTAGTGGTTAGAACAGTGCGCTTGTGCTCTGAGAATGTTGAAAGTACCCAGTTCAATCCCCACAGCCTGCACTTTGGGTTCCTGAGCAAAACCCTCAACGGCAGTTTGTGCGGCAGTTGGCTGTCACACAATGGCAGCCCACTGCTCCCCAAGGGAAGGGGTCAAATGCAGAAAGTCATTTTCGCCATTGTGGCAAAAATAATGGGATTTATGTAAAGGGTTTAAATCATGATTGTAATTTCCTGCCACATCCCAAGTACAAGTCTTACTAACATCACTATGGGCTATAGACTTCAGCAAAGGATAAATACCTACTTCTTATGTTTAGCTTACATTTTACAGTATGTAAAAGAACATATTTAAAGTAAAATAGTTGGTTCTATTCTAAAGCATACTAATTTCTCACCAGATTAAATGGGAATGGCTGTTTTCTACAACACAGGTGAAAATCAGTAGCCCTGCTGAAGATGTTTTGAGGAAATTTCTTGCTTAAACAAAGTGTTCAATGAGGACCTATGACTGCTTACTCCAGGTAAAGTGAAAAAGTAAAAAAAAAAAAAAAAAAAAAACCTTGTCAAGTACAAGTGCGAGCTATGAGAATGAGCAGAAGACTGCTGCAGTTCTATGTTTTGGCCACATTTTACAGTTTCATTAGAAAAAACTCCATAATACTGCTTTACATAATCCCAAACTGGTTTATTGAGTGTAACAATAAGTTTAGATGCTGGTCATTACAATCAGCAGATCTTAATAGTAGAACACTTCTTAGATTTAGATGTAGATTTAGATTTTTAGATGTATCTGCACAATGGAAGTCAAATTAACAAACCTGCAGGAACTGGGTAAGGCCATGTTGTCAAAAGATCTCAGAGGAATGTTTCAAGGGCCTATAGGTTAAGGTCATTAAAGATCCAAAATATGTACCTAAGCAATGCGTTCTACTACTGTTCTAATTAAATAACCACAATGGTATAAACAGTAGGTACATAAAAGGACAAAATCGTTGGTATCCCTCATTTGATAAAAGAAAAACTCACAATGGTCACAGAAACACAAATCTCACAAAAGTATTCATACTGAAAAATTATATGCATTTCTATCCAGGCCTGTTCCATAACTTGTTTCATTTAGTTTTTTGCATTTTCATAGAATTGTTATTTTATATTATTTTTGTCCATTTCAAGCTATTTCTGTGAAAAAGGGGTACCAATCATTTTGTCCATGTATGTACAGGTTCAGCCTTTGTTATCATTGAATTAAGTGGTTTCAAATAGCTCAATGTCTAACAGTGAATACACCCAACACTAAGGCATGCAGAATTCTTCTATAGACCCCTCTCTGCTCAATAAATCCCAGCACTGTATTGGGATAGGATGTAAACTATTTAATTAGTTGTGCAATATTATTGCTACTAAATATTGCCGGTGATATGATAGCAAATGAAAGCAACCCCACCAAAAACTGGTATGCAACATTAAATCGCAGAATTAGGTCAACAAACACTGAGACGCATGTGCAAGTTCAAAAGCTACAGACCTTCAAACATTACGGAGGCTTAAGAACATTTTAAGAATGGGCTTAGATGGCCAACCATCTCCAAGTCTTATATCACAAGCAGTAAAATTGGGTGATGTAGTGAAAAACCACTATGCTTTGGAGGAGTGGAGACATTTCCTCTGAAGGGACAAATCATGCTTCTTTATCTGGCAATACGATCAACAAGTCTGGCAGGGCGTAGGAGAATGGAACTCACCTAGACTGACCAGCCACTCACCTAACTGGACTTTGTCAAGTTAAACAGAGGAGACGCTTTAAGGATTTTTATTTCAGGAGTTAGACGAGGCAATTTTATTCCAATAAAATAAACTTTAATAGCTTCAAAATGCCAAGACATTCATCCTTTTATCCTTTGATCTTTTTGGGGGAAATTTGTGGATTTCCCCTGTTTGAACTAACTGTAAATTAGTCCATAAAGCAAGGAGGGAGTCTAGAGTGGAAGATTTTGTCTGGCCTCAGCCAAATAGTAGATTCCTTTGGAAAGAAGAAAGAGCCAGGACTTGATAAGCCCCATTTACAATACCCTCTGAAAACCGATCCGTGCCAAGCTTGAATCAGTTAACCGTTCCAAGCTCGGTTCCTTGCGACCGTTAACACACCACGCTAGCACGGTTCCTTGCCTCCTAGTGACAATCTACAGTACTGCCGCACTCTAAAAGTAAACAAGGAAATCAACATGGCGGCGCGAGAGTCGGCTTTTGGGGAGTTTTGGGAAGTGGATACGACAAATGATAGTCTAATCGGGGCTTATAGACACAGAAAACAATCACAGGAGTTGAGGCTCATCACACTGCTAAGCAGAATCATCAAAGTAAATCGTGTGATAAGGTAGGGAAGCTTGTATTTTTATGAATGTCTGAAAGTTCAAGATTACGGAGGCTGGCTGTAAGGAGGTAACATGGTCTGCTCATGCGCTCTTGTTATCTGAGAACTGAGCCAGAAATGAACCCCTTCCAGCCCTACTGATGAACTAGTACCATGTTAGCGCCGTTCCGTTGTTTGTAGTGCAGTCTGGTTAAGTTGTGCATGACATTTACACTCAACGGTTATCTCAGTTACCGTGCTCGGACTGATCTTGGCACGGGTTCAAAAGGGTAGTGTAAATGGGGCTATATTCAGAATAATTATCTGACCTTACAAATGCAAATCTAAAAAGAAAATGTAAAAGAAAATCCTATTAATGTTGTCATAATCATTAGACTTACTATAACTAAAAAGTGCATCATTAAAATACAGTATTTTTCTGACCATTGAACTGAAGAATGGAACCCAGGTTCATGGCACCATCACAGGTGTTGATTTGAGCATGAATACCCACCTGAAGGCGGTGAAGATGACCCTGAAGAACAGAGAGCCCACTCAGCTGGAGTCGCAGAGCATCAGAGGCAACAACATCCGCTACATCATCCTGCCAGACAGCCTTCCTCTGGACACCTTGCTGGTGGATATCGAGCCTAAGATAAAATCTAAGAAGAGAGAAGCAGTGGCAGTGCGGGGACGAGGCAGAGGACCTGGACGTGGGAGAGGAAGAGGACGAGGCCGAGGAGGATCAAGGAGATGATCATCTGGGCTTTCTGGGTTTTCTCGTTGTTCCACTGTTTGTACAGGATTTTCCTTTTCTTCGTTTTTTTTTTCAGTCAGAGAAAATTAATTTTTGATTTTCAGGGTGTTTTTCTTTTTTTGTACAATAAAACAAGAAGACAAAGAAAAAGTAAATAAATAAATATTTTTCTAACTTATGCAACCAGCTTAACTAAGCTTTTGTTTCTTTTATATTTCTCCTTACAATAGTATGCATGAGCTTCAATTTAATAGCACTAGATATGTCACATTGAAGGTGTAAAATTACTTAGGAACATTAAAATCAAAATTAAATTCATAGTCATTGTTATAACACCTGCAAAAAAAAAAAAAAAACCTTTCATGAATTGAATAAACATTAACCTCATTTACACACGCTTTGGAGAGCAAAATAATTTAAATTTTATCTTCATACTTCACTTCAAAATCTTCAATGACCTTATATAGCTTATAATGTGTTGTGCCATAAAAATCATAAACAAACTAACCACTTCTCCCAGCATGAGTTTTATTGATAAAATCGAACCATTACTGTAGCTGACATCTACTTTGTGAGAGGCTGCTTCAATAGCCAGCCTAGATTGGGTCATTTTATGTTTCTTCCTTCTCTCCTTTTCTTTTGCTCCCTTTCTTTTCCTCCCATTCCCAGCATGCTGCTATTAACTTCATTAGTCAATTATCTTATCCCTCTCCCTCCTCTCTGTGATAGCTAGTGATTTCCACCATTGCCTGAGCCCCAAATTCACTTCAATACTGTTAACTGTTTACATGCTGGTTTAATGATAATTACTCAATGCTTAAAATAATACGTTTTATTTAATTACATAACAAATTATTGGTACTATGCAGATTAATCCTTTTAGGAGGATTTCCCACTTTATTTTGTGTGGGTTTTTTTGCTTTTCTTTGGTAGTTTGGTTTCAAGTTTCAGAAAAAATTATATAGCAGAGTAATTTCTTGTAACAATAGCTTATTTTTTAATAAATTTTAAGTGTAAATTAAAGTTGTGTATGGTTATTTCATATCAGCTTGTGTGATCTGTTGCATAAAGGCTCTTGTATTGAATAGTTTGGTTATATAGAGACATTTCTTGCATATTGTGACCTACACCTCTAGCTAAAACTTGCACTTCAGTTTCCATATTTATGCAATTTACCACTAAATATTCCCATTTAGAGTTAAAAATTGTTAAATATTAGTAATTACAGGCAGGTAGTCATAAATCAAAATCATCTAAAACACATTTTCATTGTGGATTGATTTTGTTCAATAAGTTAATTATCAAGTGTAATTTTCAATTATAATTACTAAAAATATTAACAGTAAAATAAATATAATTGGACAAAAGTGTAATGTAAAACTAAATAGTGTTAGTGTTTTTAGTTATACTTTTCAAAAGATACAGAAAGGGAAACATATGTATGTGCACATCGGCAACCTGGGTTGGGATGGATTTATGGATTATTTGAATCATTTTATTGAATTATTTAATTATTGCCGCAACAAAGTATAATGACAAAAGAAAAAAATCCCAAACATTAACTAGATAGAATCCCCAAAATTCCACTGACAGCATGAATCATATGATTTCAGAAAAATTATTGGCATGAATCCATCAAATAATGCAGATTTACTACTCATTTTATGAGTCCTTCACTCTTGGCTACATTTAACAGGAAGGATAACTCTTCTCTGAGGTCATATTACTTCATATAATTCATGTCATCTCTTTCAGTGAGCTTTCTTCTATCGGTCCTTGTGCACGATCAAAATGAGTTCCTGTAACAAATACACTGGCTTGGTTTGTCATATGTGATGTGATCTTCACACACTCAGGCACAGCGGTGTTTCACCATCAAGTTCTGCTAGGGGAACATTAAACAGCCCTGTGCTTGTTACACATCAGCTCCTGCTCCATCCACACTGTAAATCACTTAATGGAGTTAAATCAATCTGTCTATATTTCAGCTAGAGTCAGCAGTGTTTTCCCTCTTCCTCATGATGCAAATAACCCTTGACTGAAGCCCATTCATCTAAACTGAAGCAGCGTTTTAATACCTTGAAGATGTTAGTTGTGCTTGAATGACACTTGAATGCTCCATGTGATCTACATCTTAATTAAAAAAGACTTGCAGACACTATCAAGGTCTCAAAGCTTCTGCTTTCATTCTTAAAATGTATTTTCTAGTCAGGGTCTTAAACCCGGTGCTGCACAGTGTTGCAGTTTGTAGCCCTGCTGCCTTGCAGCAAGAAGGTTCCATGTTCGATTCCTGGCCCGGGGTCATTCTGCATGGGGTTTTCATGTTCTCCCTTTGCATGTGTGGGTTCTCTCCAGGTATTCCGGCTTCCCTCCACAGTCCAAAAACATGAATGTTAGATCTTTTTTTTCTCTAAATTGTTCTTAGGTGTGAGTGTGTGTGTTTGTGTTTTGTATGTCTCTTTGTTGGCCTGCGACAGACTGGCCACGTGCCCAGGGTGTCCCCTGCATCTTGGCCATAGACTGCCTGACATAGGCACCAGCCCCACCGTTAACCTGATGGATGGATGGATGGATGGATGGATGGATGGATGGATGGATGGATGGATGGATGGATGGATGGATGGATGGATGGATGGATGGATGGATGGATGGATGGATGGATGGATGGGTGGATGGATGGATGGATGGATGGATGGATACAACAACGACCAGGACTACAGAGAGGAGGTGGAGCAGCTGGTGGGCTGGCGCAAAGATAACAGCCTGATACTAAACATGCAGAAGATGAAGGAGATCATCGTTACTTCAGAATTAACTAGCCTAACAATGCTCCACTGCTCATTAGCAGCTCAGCTATAGAGGCGGTCAGCAGCATCAGATTTCTTGGGGTGCACATCACAGACAACCTCAGATAGACTGTAAACACATCCTCACATTTAAAAATAACGTAAATAATATCTTTATACAAAAACATTAGAGTATTGCTTCAAACTGTTATGCATGTTTCTTACTGTCTCCATTAAGCCTGGAAGAGAGGAAACTGCACCTTTCTTTCAAGTAGTGTTTATATACAATATTTCACTAAAATCCTTGCATTATTTTGCTGTGTTGTTGTCACATTACAGAGTTATTTCTAATATAACAGGGTTGTTTGACAATGTGATCTTACTGTAAAATAAGAATTGAACGCTATAAATCCAATGAGACCAGGGTTTTTACAGGTATTAATTGTAATATTACAGTGGGGCTTAATTACAGTAAGTTACAGTAAAATAACAGTGCAGAATAGTTTATATTCAAAACATTGGAGGGTTAGACAGATTAAGGATCTTAAATGTTATCTCATCTCAATCCGGTGTTATTTTCTATGAGTGGCTGGTGGATTTTTTTCTTGTTGCGTAATCCAAGGGTGATTGTTTTTAGAAAAACCAACTGATGACTGGTCGTTTTCCTCAAGAATTCTCTGGGGAAAAAATCTAACTTTATTGTTTTATGAATTATAGCAACCTCTCCTGGTACTAAACCGGCAAAGTGGCCTCAGACTATGATGCTAACTTCTTTTTCTGAAATGCTGTGTTTCTTTTAGAGTAAACGTGGTGTGATGCAAACCCTCAAAAAAGCCTTCCCTTTCTACAACCAGTCAAAAATATATTTTCCCAAAATCCTGAGAACTGTCATGTTTTGAAGGAATTTTGGGATAGACATTTTTTGTTGGAACTCTTTGATAGTATAATATTTGATAGGGTTCCAGTTTGTGGGGGTTGTTTTGTTCTTTTTCAGTTCCTCCATGCATCCACTAAATGGTGCCATTGTTCTCTGCTAGTCTAGAGGGCTTTGTGTTCTTCTCTACCTCTCACACCTGCAGCCTATTTGGTCATCACTTCCTGAGGAGTATTTAAGCAGCAGACTGTCTTCACTTCCTCGCCAGAGTGTTTGCCAGTATTGGGTACTCTAGCCACTCAGAGTTTGCAGAGTCATACTTTGAGTCCCTGTTTCTTCTGAGCTCTCAGCGCTAACCAAGTTTTGTCTTTTTGATTCTCCGGCAGGATATCACAGATCCACTGGATAAGCCAGGCCCTTTTAGTCTTGGAAGGGACTCTCTCGTCACACTGAGAAGGGAGACAGATCTCCTCACCTGAAGCGCCGTTCACTTCAGGAACATTGTGACAGTCTGCTCAGCTGCTCCTCATGACCACCATAGTCTGCCTGTCCACCCTCCAATGAACAATTCCTTCTACAGAGCAAGCCTCTACAAACGGGAACACTGGAATCTCCCCAAACAACCACAGTGAGTCCAAGTCAAACCTTGTATTCAGACAGAGATAAACTGTTTAAATTTACCCAGCCTCTGAGTTGTTTCTGCATGTGGGCATACTTTTGAAAGCCATCATGACGACTCTACCTTATTGCTAATAATGAAAAAGGAAGAAGAGAGGTTTTTAAAGGCATTATTATTTTTATTTTGTAAACTGCAGGATAAGTCACTAATGCACTCTTGAAATAACTTGAGGTGCCAAACGACTCCTGGGAATGTTCTCTACTCGCAGATAATTGTTTTCAATGAGATTGGCAGGAGTCCTTGACTTGGCAACACTTTCTGAAGCTGTATATAAGTATAATTTCTTTTTTTTTTTTTTTTTTAGATCAGGGCAAGCTGAGATGCTGTGGGAAATTTTTCTAAGGTTACAGCAAGGGATGAAAGGAAAAGATAAGTGCCATCTGACATGAAGAAACAACCACAAATTCATTAGTCTTTAATCTTTAAATTAACCAGACAAGCTAGTACAACAGACTTTGGCTTTTTTTTTTGTCAAGTCAGGCAGGAATTGTAAGCTGGAAGGACAAACCTGAACTTCTGACCTCCATAGCGAGGACATCCAGGGGTAAGTGGGCGAGACTTCTTTGGTTTGGCTTGGTTTTATGCTCTTGTCCCTTAGAGAGATTGCATGTTGCAAATCAAAGCAAATGCTGTTCCGGATAACCAAGACTATAAAGTTATGGCACTGATGTTTTTTTTT